CTGATAACATATTTCAAATGTTTGCCATAATCAAATTTATATAGTGAAACAAAATACGTTAAAACTACATTTTATTTTTGTTTCAAAATATCCTTCTAGCATATTTCAATTTGTATTTGATAATTTTGTATTTCCTGAAGATTAATTTTTTCATATTTTGAACTGATATTGCATAAATTTCATTATTGTATAAATTGATGATGAAATTAAGTACATGTACAGAATATTTTATTTTCTGACATGAACATTATACAATTTCTAAAAATACTGTATATGAAAAAATAGAAATATATACGCATTGTTCCTGTAATTACAAATTGTTTATGTATATATATATATATATGCAATAGTTATGTCTAAAATTAATTCCAGTCATACAACTACAAGATATACTAATAATAGTATGCATGAATACTCAAAATTAAATTTTTTCATAAATTAATTATGAATTAAAATTAGTACAATTATCTGACAAGAATTGTCTAATAAATAAACAACCTATTGTTAATAAGAATAACTTTATGATTCTCCATATTAAAAGGCAGTAAGTAACCACTTAATGCAGTACATTCTGTAAATATGAAGGCACCTTTTTATGTATTACATAAATATTAATGTTCACGGTTCCATCTCCATACAGTAGCATCGTCACAAACACATAATAAAACTGAGCCATCTCTACTTAAACTAGTCTGGCGTATAGGTGCAGTACATCTAGGATGTTGGAGCGAATAACAACGTGCTTGACCAGGTTCATCAACTTCTAAATCCCATACATACGTCCTGCCAACTTGATTTCCTAAAGCTATTGTGCGTTGCCAGAAATCCATTGAAAATCTTATAAACCATATATCACATTCTTTAAATTCAAATCGATGTAAAACTGTAGCACTCGTTTCTCCGTTACGCAATTGAGAATCTTCAAGACGGCCTGGTTTCCAACATACAATACAGTTTTCACAAGATTTACTTAAAATAAAGTCACCATACCATTTAACACAATCAACATAATTACGATGTACATCACGTGTAGTGAAGTCTGGAAAATGTTGCAGTATAGAATCAAAAGGTCTCCCATTACGACTGGGATTACAGTAATAGGATTGCTTTATTGCTTCCTGCATATCTGGTTTATCTAGTGACCATAGTTTTAAGGCATGATCCATGCCACATGAAATAATACGTTCTCCTTTCATATCAAAATCTGCGCTTAAGACTTCATCTCTGTGACCTTCAACTCCACCAAAAATTGCTATACACACATCTGTTTTTATATTCCATAACCTCAGAGCATGATCTTTCGATGCTGAGAGCAATATATTTGGGTCTTTAGGATGAATTTTTAATTCATTTATTGCATGACCATGCCCAATATAATGTTTAATACATGTCATGGTTACAGGACTGATTACTCTAACTACACCGCGTGATCCTGCCACTGCTAGTAGAGGTTTCCCAGAGTCATCATAAGTCCAAGTACAAGTATAAAAATTTTCTTCTGGATCAGGATCTGCATAGCACTGACGTAGTCTAATATTGCCTCCTTCGGGACATTCATAAATGCTTACTCGATTACTTCCTACAGAAGCAAATATCAATGGTTCTCCTTCTTTTAAATGGTGATTAAACTGTACGCCAAACAATGGTTGCCCATGATCTTCCTTAACACTGCAGCAGTATTTATAAAGAGGTTTATCTGTGCAAGATTTATACTTTGCAGTTTTGCTTCTACGGCGACCTTTTCTTCTATAACGAGCACTGCGTGTAGGTGTATCGCTACGATGGGTTCCAGCTGTTGAATTACTACCAATACTACATTCAGTTTCATCACTGTCATTTTCACTGTCTTCTTGACTGGAAGCATATGTTTGTCCTTTGTTACTTGTCTTTTTCATTTCAATATTAGATATACAACGTTAAATGTATTATATTGAAAGCCCAATAATGGGAATTCCACTTGTAATACCTAATACAGCTTCTGAAAACTGTAGTATTCTATTACCTAAATGAACACAACTTTGTGGTTTCTGAAATAAATACAAAAGTTAATGTAATATGGTAAATGTGAATTAATATAGGAAAACAATTATATAAACTTACAGAGATATTGGCAGATAAGAATTTAATATTATATTTGTTCCGTATTTTTGCTGATTTATGGGAAATCAATCCCATACTACATGAACTTTCTTTGCAATCTACTAAGCATACAGTACCAGAAATGATATAATGTTCATCTATCAGACTTATATTTGTTTCTACCTTAAATAAGAATTTATTTTTATGTAAACATGATTCGAGGCTAATTATTTGAAGTTCATTAAATACTTACTTCGGACAAAGACTGAAATCTCCAATCAAAGACAAAAATAATGAAATCTATTGCGAGACCAATTTGTAATTTTATAATTTCAGTAATAAATTCACACTGATGCACCACAACATCCCGTTGTGTTTCTTTTGCACTTTGATGTAATCCTTCAGAAACCTTGTTGCATAAATCCGCTGAACCTATGACCTGCAATCATTTTCAACAATATCAACAAAGTAACTGGGTTCATAATATTTCAAACATCAGTATAACCTTAAAACTCGAATCTGTACTATTACTTTTAATATAACAGGAGCATTTAAAATAAATGATGTGCAATTCCATGTTATTAGTAAAACAATCATACAGATAATATACTCATTTAAACAAGAAAATACATACACATGTATACTACAATATTTACGTAGCAAAATTACAAAACACTCGATACTAATTTTTGTAATAAATTAGTCTAATTTGTAAATTTTTAAATGTCTTTTTAATTGAAAGAAACACAAGAATCATTTTAACGTAAGTATTGATAAATAAATGTAAAGTAAAATGTTACATTTTTATTGTTTACTTCCTAAAACAGTTACGTGTTACTTCACATGTCGTACTTTTATATTTAAAAAAAATTAAATGGAACATATAGTAATGTGTACTTATATATTTTTTAAATATTGTAAACGTACCAAGAAGCAAATTGAAGAGTCATATCGACGTTTTCTGAACTTAGTAAGAATACCCGCCATATCACATTTTTAGCTCATTATGAAAAGACACAATTTATAAGTCGACAGTAGGAACTACGTAATCGTTTAAAAACACGAAACAAAAAATATAATTCTAACACCAAATAAAATTAATGAAAATTTTTCTTTCCTTATGTCACATAAAAAAATATAATTAAATTTATACAACTTAGTATTCTCACTTTCTAACGTTTCTTTTTATTTGACTTTACATTATTATGTACAGTTAATGCACACCTTGTACCAAAGTATATATATGAGATTTCATTTGTGTACACTATAGTTGTATCCCTTTTAAATTTCCATATTTGTTTGCTTGAAATCATAAGTTACACAAGTACATATAGAAAAATGTCATTATTATTCTAAAATTAAAAAAAAAATTGTTAAACGTATATTGTTCGGGTATAAATATTTATTATATGATGCGAGTACCTGGTGTGTGGTGTGTGTGTGTTGGTTCATAAGTCATGTTTCATATGAGACTATAGCATAATAACAGAACTATACCAAGTGAACACCGGCTAATACAGAACATTTTATAGATTAACATTCATTTTAAAAATTGTTTGATTGAATGTATCGTTCAGGTGTCAACAATTGTTTGACGTGTGCCATTGTTTTATAAAAAATAGAAAGATGTTTAAAAAGTATGCGTGTTATTATGTTTGTTAAGAAAGCATAACCTCCGTTCACTAATAAATTTTGATTTTATTTAATATTTTATTAGATTCGACGAAAAAGACAGTGTTTCTGGTATACAACAATTAAAATCATCAGTTCAAAAAGGAATTCGTTCAAAACTTTTAGAACTTTATCCTCATTTGGAAAGTCACGTGGACGCTATAATTCCAAAGAAAGATTCTTTTCGAATTGTAAAATGGTAAGAATTTTTAAACCGAATATTTTTTCAAATTATAAATAAGTAACTGAATTTATATTTATTTTTACATGTCAGCCACGATCATATCGAGATTATTGTAAATGCAGCAGGAGACCTTTTGTTTTTCCGTCAAAGAGAAGGACCTTGGATGCCTACCTTAAGATTGTTACATAAATGTAAGTGAGAAATGATCATTTTCTTATACAAATTCCAGAGGAAAGAAATCATAAAGAAATACCATATTTCATAGTATATTATATTTTGATATATATATATTAAAAACTTTCAGACCCATTTTTTTTACCAATGCAACAAGTTGATAAAGGTGCTATCCGGTTCGTTCTTAGTGGAGCGAATATTATGTGTCCAGGTTTAACGTCGAAAGGTGCAAAGATGACACCTGTAGAAAAGGGAACAGTTGTTGTATCCTTTGTTAAGAGACTTTAAATTACATATGTTGTTTACCAATCTTAATACTTGTTAGTCTATATAATTCTTAACTTTAAATATAGGCTGTTATGGCAGAGGGTAAGCAACATGCTTTAGCTGTTGGCGTTACTACATTATCAACAGAAGACATGTAAGTAAATAGGGCATATAATGCTGTATATACAATGTATGAAAAGTGCTAGGTATATTGTAAAATATTTTACAGAGTTAAGGTGAACAAAGGAGTGGGTATAGAAAATTGCCATTATTTGAATGATGGATTGTGGCAAATGAAACCTGTGAAGTAAAAGACTGATGTTCACATTGTTCAAGATTTAATCATGTGCGAAAACATCTTGTTCGTTGCCCAAATGTGTTATCCGACATTTTTGAAAGTAACATGTCATGCTGTGAAGCGATGGTTCTAATCGGAATATTGCTATTCAAAATAAAAAAAAAGATTGATAATGCATTTTTATTGTACAAACTGAATGAATGTGACAATTTTATTATAATTGTTTAAATGCACCAATATTATTTGAATGTAATGTTCTACAGTTTACATAAATTCAGATGAAATTCTATAAATAGAATTATGTAATTATAAAAATATAATTAACCAGATCCTGATTTAATATCTACTTGGCCTTCTTGATTGTCCGAAGAAGCAGAACGTTCGTTTTCGCAATGTCCTGATGCCGGAGAATAAGATGAATTATTAGCATCAGATGTTGGTGCAGAAGCAGTGTTTGAACCAGGTATACTGTTATTAGTAGTATTATTTTCTGCAACAGCATGAGGAGATTGTGGGTGATAATGTGGACTGTGTGGACTATGAGGGCCATGAGCATGAGGACGGCCCATTGCGTGTGGTGAATACTGTGAATATGGTTGATGATAATATGGATGTGCATATTGAGGATATGGCTGATGATATGGTTGCTGTTGTGAATACGTATAAGATGGATGTGGAGGCCTTGGAGTTAATGGAACATTTTGAGCTTGTTGAGTTGGTCCTGGTTGATATTGTTGACCATAGCCTTGATTTGGTGGAATCATCTGAGGGGTATGTGGATTAGAAACAGGCCCTTGAGGTGGAAGCACCTGTGTTCCTTGAGTTCCTTGTGTTCCTTGATGAGGTGGCATTGAATGATTAGCTAACATTCCTTGCTGATGAGGTGTATGCTGCACAGGAGGAGCTGGTGAAGAAACAGGAGGCATAGTAGGCGCATTTGCAGTTGCACTTGCATTTGCAGGTGCGTTCGAGTTTATATTAGCTGGTGCTGTTGTCGTCGTAGTAGTAGATTGTGGTGGTTGCAAAGGAGATGGTTGCGGTTGTGGAGTCGATTGTTGTGGATGTTGCTGATGTGCTTGAGATGTCGGTTGTTGATGTT